TTTTTGAGATGGAGTTTCGCTCCTGTTGCCCAGGCTGGAGTGCAATGGCGCGATCTTGGCTCACTGCAACCTCTGCCTCCCAAGTTCAAGCAATTCTGCTGCCTCAGCCTCCCAGGTAGCTGGGATTACAGGCATGCACCACCACACCTGGCTAATTTTGTATTTTTAGTAGAGACGGGGCTTCTCCATGTTAAGGCTGGTCTCGAACTCTTGACCTCAGGTGATCGACCCGCCTCGGCCTCACAAAGTGCTGGGATTACAGGCGTGAGCCACCGCGCCCAGCAAGGGAGGAAGACATTTTAAACCCTGTTCATGTTTAAATGTCCCTTTCTATACTTTGGTCGTATGTTTTTAATTATATTTAAACTACTTTCTCCCCTGTCTAGGTAACACACGTTAATCCATGGGCTTTCCCCAGGCTGTTTTTGTCCGAGGGTTTACACTGCTGTCTGCTGTGAGTGATCTCAGGGCCTGCAGAGTTTCTTCTCGATGTGGACACAGGAAGAAAACTTGGTAAGATCAAAAGTGTGCCTAATTATTTCTTCATTTCAAAAGTACTGTAATCCCAGCACTTCAGGAGGCCAAGGTGGGTGGATCACTTGAGGTCAGGAGTTCGAGACTAGCCTGGCCAATATGGTGAAACCCCGTTTCTACTAAAAATACAAAAAATTCACCCGGCGTGGCGGCACCTGCCTGTGGTCCCAGCTACTTGGGAAGCTGAAGCACAAGAATAGCTTGAACCCGAGAGGCAGAGGTTGCGGTGAGCCAAGATCGCACCACTGCACTCCAGTCTGGGCGACAGGGCAAGATTCTGCCTCAAAAAAAAAAGGGAAAAAAAAAGGAAATTTATTAATTTCCAATCAAATGTTCACCTAACAGTAAAACAAACATTTTTTTAAAATATAGAAAGAAACAGAAAGGTCTATAATCCTCAAAGGAAAAAAAATCAGGGATTTCAATGGACAAAACAAGGGGAAAGCTACACAGTAAGTCCAGCCAGGAAGCCAGACTTCCAATTTGTACTGTCATGTGGATGCTATGCCACCTCATGGTACCACATCATTCATAACCCGTCCAGCCACAGGCCAATGACAGCATCCTCAGCCAGCCACATTCCACATTTGTCAGGCTTCATTACAGCCCTTTGCTTTTAAGTTCAAAAGTCTATGGCAGAGAATTAGCACCTAGTCCACAGCAGCTCCAGGGATGACCAGGATTCCTTTGGTGGATAGCTGCCCCCGTCCTGGAAGGGCATCTGATCTCCGTGTGAGATTCCTCACCCCTTCTGAGTACCTGCTAAGCACCAGGCCCTGGCGGGGTGCCAGGAATACAAAATGAATGATGGGAGAAATGAAATACTGACACTCTACCACATGGTGAGCCTCAAGAAGATCATGGGAAATGAAAGCAACCAGACACAAAACACCCCATATTGCAGGATGACATTTACATGCAACGTCCCAACAAGGCAAATTCATAAAACAGAAAACAGATTCCCGGGTGCCTGGGGCAGGGGTGAAAATGGGGTAAAATGGGAAGCTAATGCCCATGGGGCACCTCTGTAGGAGGATGGAAGTGTTCTAAGACAGGACTGTGTGATGGTCGCACTTAGTCAAACTTAATGAATTATACACTTAAAATGTGTATAATTTTATGGTATGTAAAGTGTACTTCAGTAAACCTTAAAAAATAAATGGGAGTTAGCAGCTGCAACAATTTTCAAAAGCATCAACTGTGATTTTTCACAGCTGGCTATTCATTTGTGCTTGTCCACAGACAGTTAACAAACCTCTAGGGCAGACCCCAGCCATTCCATGAGAAAACTGAGCCCCAACCGCTTGGGCACCCCTGGTATGCAACGACTTAACTGTCCACAGCATCCAGACGGCTCAGTGATGCCCCATCCTTGTTGCTGAAGGAACCCTACTTGAGAAACACTGCAGGCCATACAAAAAAGTAGATCCCATCAAGTCTAAAGACTTCATGAAAAATAATTTCAGAGGTTTTGAAACCACTTGATATATTGTTATAATAATTTTACATGCTTAAAGTCAGGCCAGGCACAGTGGCGCACACCTATAATCCCAGCACTTTGGGAGGCCAGGGCGGGTGGATCACCTGAGGTCAGGAGTTCGAGACCAGCCTGGCCAACATGGCAAAACCCCATCTCTACT